CACCAGCCAACTGCCAATTCAGCAGTTGCCTGCCAGTCAGCAAACTGCCTGTGCAGCAGTAGACTAAGCAGTTATCTGCTCACCAGTCTACTGCCAAGCCTACTTCCTCTTGTCACCAGTCTAAATATCATCTAAACTAGAAAGTTGTCTCACACCAAGTATAAAGAGGTTAAAGACTTCCGCTGTGCATCTATTAATCTCTTAAAAGATTATAGATCAACTCTTCTAGAGGGAAAACTTCACAAAGTTGAAAAAGATTTTAAAAGTCTATTCACCCCCCCCCCCCCCCCCCCTCTAGACTTTTACCTCTATCCGGGACCATCAAATACTCCTAATTTTAAACATTTTTTCACACCTCTTCTCCAACTCTTCTAAATCCTACTCTCTACTCATCTCCATTCTCCAATTCTCCATATTCATCTTCTCTAATTCTCTTATTCTCCTTTATATTTTATTTTACTATTTAATACTTATACAATTATTATATCTACTTATATATTAATTATCTACTTATATATATTATTATCTACATATACTATATTGCTTATATTTCTTATCTACTTAATTTCTACTTATATCTCTTAATACATACATACATACTATATCTACTTAATATATACTTTATATAATAAAGTATTAAATATACTTTATAAACTATTACTATATACTTAATACATAATAATATCTACTTCTCTACTTATATTTTATATATACTTATTTTCCAATCTCCAATTCTCCATTATACTCTAATATTTAATTCTTATACAATTATTATATCCACTTAATACATACATTCTACATCTACTTAATATATATTTTATATATTAAAGTATAAAATATAAGTGTATTACTCATCGTATAGTATAGTATACTTATATATTATATAATATAAACATTATATTATATATTACTTACTATAACTAGTATTATACTAGTTAATTAGTTAATTAGCATTCTTGTTACATTTTTCATTATACTAGTTAATTAGTTCATTACCATTATTGTAACATTTTTTATTATACTAGTTAATTACTTAATTAGCATTCTTGTTACATTTTTCATTATACTAGTTAATTAGTTCAATACCATTCTTGTTACATTTTTCATTATACTAATTAATTACTTAATTAGCATTCTTGTTACATTTTTCATTATACTAGTTAATTAGTTCAATACCATTCTTGTTACATTTTTCATTATACTAATTAAAATACTTCACATTTTATTTAACTAGTTGTTAGTTTGTTACATTTGTCACTATACTAGTTAACTACTTAATTAGCATTGTTGTTACATTTTTACTTGTACTAGTTATTTACTTCAAAAGTTGCTATAATTTTAATTGTAGAGACACACATTAATTCTACTTTGCAAAAAATTAGTTTGAAGTATTAATTAAAATAGTTTTAATTAGTTGCATTAGTTTTGTATCCATTATTATATTTGTTGTGAATTAATATTTGTTACATTTTTTAGATGGAAGGTGGTAGATATTCGGTTGATTTGGGTAACCTCCAACGCAATCGAAGAAACGAAATTGGGAGGAAGAAATCCCGCAAAGGTAAAGAACTTGCCGGGTCTTCATCTCAAAGTCGAGATGATTTTGAAACGGGTTACCAAAGGCGAGATGGAGATGCGATGTCCGAAGAACAACTCCAACAAGAATTGGCCCGACATAATAACCGCTTTCTACAACAACAACAAATGCCGACGACCATTGACGAAGAGGAGCTTGAGGATGAAGATGCGGAGGAATTGGAACCGGAGACGGCCGAGGAGGAGGGTGCCGGCAGCCACGACGCCGACGCGCCTGCCTCATCCCAAACCGCCACCGGTAATAAAAAAAAGTAAGTCTGAACTAATGAAAAATAATTTTGATAAATGGAAGGACCCACAAACCGGCTATTGGCACGCAACTTGCAAGTGGTGCAACAACAATTATAGTTTGGGAACCTCCGGCGGATACGGATCCGCCGCAAGGCATCTTAAGGCAAAGCACCCCGTGGAGTATGCAAAATTAGGCGGCGGAACGGGGAAGCAAACTCAAATATCGAGGTTTGCGAATTCTCAACCTTTTGGTAATTTCTCCTACAATGATGCACAAAATTTGACTGGTATGGCTAACTTAATTTGTGAAGAAAATTTGCCTTATTTGTTTTCTGAAAGTCTTGCTTTAAGAGATTATGCACAAGGTAGTTTAAATCCTCAATTTAGAAATTATAGTCGCAAAACTGTTAAGAAAGAAATAATAAGGCTTTATAATGCGGAAAAGGAAAGGTTACAAAATTTTTTTGCAAACTTTGATGGGCGTGTTACTATTTGTTCTGACATATGGGAGGATGATTTTCATCATTTATATTATTTGGGTCTGACTGCACATTATATTGATGAGGATTGGAATATGCATAAACGTGTTCTTGCTTTTCGTGAATTTAATGATCGTCACACCGCTGAACATATTTATATTTTGATTGAGCGTATTTTAATTGAGTATAATTTGATTGATAAGGTGTTTGCTATTGGTTTCGATAATGCTACTAATAATACTGCTGCTATACCTAGATTGCGTGAGTTGTGTGGTGCCAATTCTTTGATGGGTAGATTTTTTCATCAACGGTGTGCATGTCATGTTATAAATTTATGTGTGCAAGACGGTTTAAAAGCGTTAGGAGATTCCATGGAGGTAATAAAGGGGGGGTTAGACGTATTTGGGGTAATGGTCAACTTAGATTAAAATGGCAAAGTTATTTGACTGAAAGAGGTGTGAGATATGTTGCTTTTCCTAAAGATTTGAGTATTCGTTGGAATAGTACTTATAAATTACTTAAAGTTGTTCTTAGATATAAAGAACATTTTCCTGCTTTTTTAAAAGAACATGATAACTATATTATAAACGCGGCTGAGATCGACACTTGCGAAAAAATTTGTAATGTTTTGATATATTTTTTTAATGCTACTGAAACTTTTAGTCATGTTTATAAACCTACCGCAAACCAATTTATTCCACAAGCTGTTAATCTCGCCGATGCTTTTAAAGAATTTCAAAATGCCGTTTTCGTTCATTATTTTTGTGATTATATGAAGGAAAAGTTTTTAAAATATTATGCGCATATTCCCCATATTTATGGTATTGCATTTATTCTCGATCCTCGTTATAGACTTGCTAATTTGGAAGATTGTTTCAACTTCTATTATCTTGCGTTTTTCGGTGAATTTCCAATGTATGAGGATAACCCCATAGATCCGAAAACGGAATACAACGAGGTTAGTACTTTATTTTATGCCTTATTTAATGAGTTTCGTGCACAATATAGCAACGCTCCCCCTCCCCCGTCACGAACATCTTCATCTAAAGGAAAATCGATTTTTAAATCTGCATTTGGCAATCTTATGAAAAAAACTAAAACAACTCACGTCACTGAACAAAGCGCATTGAATGAGATTACTTTGTATTTAACATATGAAGTTGATTTTGAAGAAAATGATGACTTTGACGTTCTAGACTGGTGGAAGTCAAAAGAAAGAACGTTCCCGATTTTAGCACGGATGGCTAAGCAAGTACTATCAATGCCGGTTTCAACAGTTGCGGTGGAACAAGAATTTAGTTTGGCCGGCAACGTCCTAACGGCATCTAGATCGAGATTGAGCGCGGAGTCTCTTGAGACGCTTATATGCTACCACGATTGGTTGAAGGCCGCACGTAGAACTCAAGAATTGAGCATCACCCCCTCCCAAGATTTTATGGATGACTCAACAACCGATGGTGGCTCTACATATGCCGGAGATTCCGATTGATTAGTATTTTAGAATTTAGTACAAAATGTATTTTATAGCACTTGTCAAATTTATTTATACTTATACTTCATATTTCAAAATTGTAAACTTGTACTTCATATTTCAAAATTGTAAATTTGTAGTTGTAGTTCAAATTAATTTGTAAACTTGTACTTCATATTTCAAATAAATATGTGTTCACTTTTTCATATGTAGCACTTCTCAAATTAATTAATTGGTTACAATCTAACGACTTAAAATTATTTTTCTAAAATATAAAGATGGTTTTTAAATTAAAAATACATTTAGAATATGTAATTTGTTTAAATACTTATACACCTATTTTGTAACATTTGTTTTAGTTTTACTTAATTCATTAAATTAATTAATTTATTTTACAATATGTGTATAACTTAAAAAAAAAAAAAAAAATTCAAAGCTCCCAAACGGCTATATAGCCGTTGGGGCTATGGGTGGGGGGCAGGGGGGTCCCGGGGGTGGTGGTGTGGGGAGGGGTTCAAAAACACCTATAAATACATCTATTTTCTAACATTTTTCTACACCTTTTCTCCAATTCTTCTCAAACTCTTCTCCATCTTCATCTTCTCTTATTATCCTACATTCCTACTTAATTACTTATACTGTTATACATATACCATTTTAAATATGGAAAGTACATCTTCCCTTATGCAAAACAATTTTGACAAGTGGAAGGACCCGAAGACCGGACTGTGGTGGGCAACTTGCAGGTGGTGCAAGAAAGACTGTTGCTTGGGGCGTTCATACGGATACGGGATGCCAATAAAACATATGAAGTCCTGTGACAAAGGGAAAACAACAACCAACGGTGGCGGAAATCCCAATTGATATTCATTACAATTTACAAAATGTATTTCGTATTGTTATTTTTTTCTCAATTCTCAAATGTAGTTCTTATTTCAAATAAATGCACTTGAACTTTGTTTTTAATAGCAATTTGTATAATATATAATTAATAAAAAAAAATTGTATTGGCCCGGCCCGGCCCGGCGGGTGGCCCGACCCGTGACCCGGGCGGGTGACCCGGCCCGAACCGGAACCGGTCATTGACCGGGCCGGTCCCGGGCCTACCCTTATAGGACCCGAGGCCCGACCGGGCCTTGACCCGGCCCGGGCCCGACCCGGCCCGGGTCCATGCCTGATCTCACGCAAAAAATGTAGAGTTCTACTTTCTAGTTTTTCATTTTGGCATTCTTTTCAATTATTCATAGCTTTTGTACTATAAGATAGAAGGTTATTGTAAAATATGGTAGATGAGGGGACTATTACAATTGAGGAGGTAGCATGCATGCATTTGACCAACTACAGAAGTTGTGAAAAAATGAAACTTAGGTGGTGGTCTCAGATGACAGACATATCATATCACATAGGTTTATCATCAAATTCCCTCAGGGCAGAGGGCCATCATCATGCATGTTACTAGATAAATGCATAGCATTTTACACAACACAAAAGAATACATACAGTAGTAGTTCATCCATTCACTCATGCATATGTTGCATGCTGTCACCTCTTTCCACGACCTCCTCCTTTAGCCTTTGTTTTCTTCGCTTTTTTCTTCCCATTCCCTGGCTGTTGCTGCTGTTTACCCAACTTCATATCAGTGGCCTCATCATCAAGCTTATCATCTTCTTCTTCATTCGAAGCCGGTTCGTCTGAATGAACTGATATAAAGTACTCCATACCATCCTTCCTCACAATGACACTGTTCAAGAAGCCTTCCACTCTACCCTTCCGCAACAACAAGCTCTTCCGCACTTTGCTAATATTTCCTCTCTTTTCCTCTTCATCCGTGTTACTGTAAATTTTGTTTACAACAACAATGTTCATGTTTTAATCGATCGAAATGCAAATTTCAAATTTATTGTGTCATTCTTATGTTAGTTTAACTAACTTCCATAATATTTGCTATTACCTAACTAACTACCTTAGACAATGATTCCAGGTTGGAGTAGATTTAATCATATCTTACCTTTTGGGATGATGTATGTAAATACAGCATAACTTACCAATGACGGTTTATCCTCACATAACAGGGGAGCATTGGAACTAGTTAAGGTCAGTTTGGATGTAGTAGGCTCCATGGGGACTATATTGGACGAGTCAAGTCTATTATACTCTCTCGGTATCGTTAATATTGTCACATTTTTTTCTTTTTGGGAAATCCCACTAAGATTGTCTCATACCAAATTTGATAAAGTTTATCCGGCTCTAAATCATTTTTGTTTTACTCTTACTTTATCAATCCATTATCAACCACATAAACTCACTTTTTTTAATAACTGTGTCACTCATGTCCCAATGTTAGTGGGACGGAGGTAGTATATATTTGCATTGAGATTGGAAAAAAGGTCAAACGAACCCTTCTACTATTTCTAATCCGTCAGTGAAGCCCCTATACTAAAAAAAGTATTACTCCCTCCGTCCCAATTAGATGGTCTTGATTCTTTTGGGCACAAACATTAAGAAAGTGTGGTAGAAAGACTAAAGAACTTTACTTTATTATACTGTTTATCCTTTTACTTTTACTATTCATTAAAAAGGAAGAGTATAAATGATAATTCACTTTTAATTCTTTACCAAAAAGGAAAACAAGACCATCATTTTGGGACATCCCAAAAAGGAAATATAGGACCACCATTTTGGGACATCCCAAAAGGAAATATAGGACATCCCAGAAAGGGAGTATAAAAGTACGTCTACTATACAAAATTGATCAATTTGACCATTTAGTCAGTTTTGACCCGTAATAGCAGGTTTTTGTATATTTAAAAACTCTAAAAATATATGTTAAAATTTGAACAAAAATATACAAAAATTGTAAACATTTTCAGAATATCAAAGTCAATATTTTTTAATTTTAAAAACTATTTGTATCACTTTTAGGTATCTCTTTTTCTCTTATTTTTTTTATAATAGCTTATCTTTTTTATCTTTATTTTCTTTCTTTTCCTTTTGGCGGTGATATCATGTATCGATTCATGTTAGCCGACCCCAATATTTTTTGGGACTAAGGCTTGGATGTTGTTATAAAAACTATTTGTATATTGTACAAATAGTTTATCTATTTATACATTTGTACTATTTTTATAATATTATTTGATTATTTATTCAAATTTAATTTATATGAATTTTTATAAGATTTATCAAATTCCTAATTTAATTCAAACAAATAACCTGCTATAGCAGATGAAATGGCTTGATTAATTGTATTTTAAAAGTAAGCATTTTTATATGATATTTTTTAAGTAAAAGAGCTTAATGATGGATTGGAAAATAGGAGAGTGTATTTGACCCTTTTTCCTTTGGAATTTTATCATGTGTGAGTATGTGCTTGTATATCATTTCAATCAAATTTTATTTGTTTCTAAAAAACATTCTATTTATCAAGATAAAAATGACTAATAAAGCCACACCCCAACCCTCCAAACACCTTCAAAACCCTCCCATTCCTCAAACAGACCCTAACTGATCACCTTGTACTCAATGAGTCTGAAAGTTGTTTGAAATCTAGAAGCATGCATTGCATTTCCTCACAAACATTTGCGCCTTCCCTGGAGGGAATTGTCTTCTCTCCAGACAGATGATCAACCACCGCAGTCATGAACTCTAAACATTCATCCATGTCATCCTTCAAACAATTCAGAAGAAAAACAAAGCAGTGAAAATGGTGTGGTACAACAAATGACTATAATGGATATGGGAATTCATTCCATTAAATTTACCTAGATACAACTACAACATATGGTGCTTTCCTATATATGACCACCAGAATTATCTTTCTTTATTTAATGATATTATTTTTTATTTAAATATTGATATTTTTCGTTATGATTAAGGATGGCAATGGGGGCGGGGACCCATGGGGATTGGGGAACCTCCCCGGCCCCGCGGGGGGAAGGATGGGGTGGGGTTTGGGGCGGGGCGGGGGCGGGATGGATGAAATATTTGGGGATGAGGATTACTACACACGCCCCGTCCCCGCCCCGTACCCGTTATAAATATAAATATATACTCAAACATACATATATATATACATACATATATTAATAATGTATAAACATGTTTAATTAAATTATATGTACAACTTCTATGACAAACACATACACGTACTTATAGACATGCATACATGTATGTGTATTAGTCATGATTAATGAACTAATACTATGTAAGTATTATACGGGAGTACTAGAATAATAAGTAATGACTAAAAATATTAATCATAAATTATATATGAGTTTTAAAAGTGAGAAACTAAGTAAAGAGAACACACACACATACACATATGTATAATATATATAATATATAATTAATTGTAGTATAATTGATTAGAAATTTGGAATGACATACATGATGGTGATAAATTTACTTAAATTTTTAGTTTATTATTTTCATAGAACTTATTCAAATTGAAGAATTATTAAAAATTGACGGTATCATCTTTTATCGAACACAATATTATCTAGTTTAACTCTTTCAGTGATATATATGTTCATTTATCTATAAAATGGATTAAAAATACGGAAATAGGATAACTAAAATTTATATGGGGCACCCGTGGGGACAGCGGGGTGGGGCGGGGATGGGGGAGTGAACCCCTGCCCCAAACCCGCCCTATTGCCAATTTGCCATCCCTAGTTATGATTAAATTGGTGATCTTTTTTAGAACAAAAAATGATGGATGGTTATAGTTGAAGAAAGTGAAGGCTATATTTTTTAGGAAAGTCATTCTCCTCTGATTTTACCTTCAAATCCGGAGAAACAAAAACATCATCCAAAACAGACCATTTCATCTTCAAAGTGCTTTGCTTTGAGGCTTTGTTGTTTGAAGGAGGCTCCAGCATGGAACTCTTCATCCCATGGTATACGCTCAAAGGAAGCAGACAACATGAGTTCTTCTGTGCGATAGAAACACATCTTTTCCGTGGAAACACCGTATGCATGATGTCCTCCCAAGTGGAATTAGTAGGCATATCTATGGCAGTAATGTAGGGAGGACACGCAAATTTGGGAGTGGTGATGTCAAGGCGCACAAGAAAACCAGGATTTCCTATCGCCTGGAGAGCTTCGGCGATGAGTGCCCGATTTGCATATGTTTGCCTCCCTCTCCTGAAAACTTGAGTGAATTCTCTCGGAAGCTCAGACCAGATAAAATTAGTTGTCAGTACAGTCTGTAGACGACTCAATGGTTCCCTCGAGTCATAGTTCATGCAGAGCGTGCACAGAATGAGCACCAACCTCAAAACCAGACTCCTGTGATACTCACTGGATCTAACGCCGAACTTCACAACCCACAGATCTCTGTTAACTTTCTGGAGGAGGAGCTCAAGCACCATGGAAAGGATTGATTCATAGAACATACAAGATTCTTGATTTGGAAGACTGTGAGTGGAAATGGCAGCATCTGGTTGAGTACGCATCCACCACTCCAGAAAAGAGGACCTTGTTGTGTAAAAGGAGGAGGCATTGGAACAGGAAACCAAGATCAAGAAGCGCTCAACGAGAAATAAGAAGCAGTGAGGTGAAATGTAGTCATGCATGTTATTCCAATAGACTTGATATGTTTCTCCCAAAGCTTGATGGAACCCATGAAGCAACTTCCTTGGCTCTTTACCACTCTTCAGAATCTCTATGAAAGCTATCCAGGCTGAGTCCTCTCTGGTTCTTGACAAAAGCTCATTGCACAGTTCATCTGAAGGTTTGGCAGACCCTAACCATATCGTCATGAACCGTCCAATTTGCCCAAATGTAGCCACTTCACCTTTTCTACTAAGACTGTGGCTGATAAATTCTTCTTCAAGTAAGCTTTGGGAAACATCAGTTCCTCTTAGAGAAATCATGTTTTCCTCCAGAGAACTCTGGGCATGAATAGAAAAAACATTCTCAAAATAATTCATCGAGAGCTGGAAGAACTTTACTAGTTTCCCGTCATAATTCCTGCAGTTTAAATCCTTGGACTCGAGAAGAAACTTTGATATCTGATGTAAACTTAAGAGGCAAACACTTTTTCTAAACACAGGCAATGTCCCCATAGAAAATTTATACAATGATTCAAGAGTTTCCAGGACTTTAATGCCAAGAGAGAGCCCCTCACTTCTCCAGTGATTCCGTGCAGCAGTTATGAACTGTTGTTCATCAATTGAGAGCACTGTTTGGTTCTGCCTCATGAAACTCTTATCAACCTTTGAAGCCCATTCAGCATCAGGGATTAGCATGATATACCTGGTTTTTGAATCAGCACTGAATAGCCGCCTCACTCCAAAATAGTTCAGGCAGAACTCACCAGAGCCTTTATATCTTCCAAAATTTTGAGTCACCTCAAGGCAGTGAAGAGATTCAAGGATGTCTTTGACATTCTGTATCCAAAGATTCCAGAAATGACAGAGGGATTTAAGAGAGAGCTGGTTACAAAACATTGTATCCTCACCGAACTTCAGGTCTACAGGGGACTCATCTTCCCATGAATAAAATGAGGCTTTAACTTCAGTGTGAGCATCCATAATTTTCCTGAGACATAAAATTTCACCTCTAAGACTCCCACACTTCTGAGAAGCACTTAGAGCACGCCTCAATTCACATAAGTTATTTTGCTCGCGTTCAAACACCTTTGCCTCTGTGCATACAGACTCATAAAAAATATCAGATCCATTCCTTGCAAGCGAAATGGCCTTATTCAAGAGCTCATTCTTAGACCCAAAAGACTTCAGGGGCCATGGCTTGCATCTGTGAACCCACAAAGAATGGACCAAGACGTACCAAAGGACACGTGAGGATGCTTTGCTGAAATTCCCAGCTTTACCAAGAAGATCTGCCTCTTGTAGAACATCCCCTTTCAGCTTAGCAAGCTCTGCAGCTTCAGCAAAATTTCCACATTCTTCTTCTAACAGTAACAACTCATCCAGACAATTCCGACTCTTCAAGAACTGGCGCTTATCAGCCATTGACTTGAAAGCTTTAACGAACTTCATCATTGATTTCCTATCATTGCAGTCAGAGTAATCAGATGCACACCTTTCTAGAAACTCCTGTTCAATTCTTTCAATTTCTTTCCCTATTCCATCCTTATCATTGTACAGTACAGCATGTTGTTTCCAGTGCTCTACATATTGAAAACCCACATCATAAAGGTGACCCTTGCTGCAGACATATAAACACTCCGAGAAACAGTTTTGCTTTGCATATATCTCAGAGGCAGTTTCATAACGTCCTGCCAATGTAAAACACTCTGCAGCTTTTTTTTGTTCTTGTTCCCCACACTTCTTCAAATAAATTGTTCCTGTAGCATATATGAAAAAAATTATTAAACCAACCACTATAACTCAAATGAAACAATGAAACATAACTTGAGGGCAGGGATATTCATACCTGCACGTTCATACTCCTTCAAGTCACAAAAACATTCGGCTGCAGACTTAAATCTTCCAATTGACTCAAATATTTCGGCAGCTTCCCTGAGATTGGAAATAGATGCATTGGGGTTTGAATCTCGCATTCGGTCAGCAGTTTCCCTAAGAATTGAAGCTTTAGCTTGCTTCTCCAGGTTCCTCTCTCCTGCCCTTTCAAAGCACATGATAGCCATTTCATAGTTTTTCTCCCAAAGAAGCTGCAAAGCATTATATATTCCACAACCATTAGAAAACATGTTCCCGTGCATATACTAAGGATTAAAATTAACTAAAAAAGAAGAGAGAGAGAAAGCTTAACTAACTTTTAATCCCCGAGATTTCCACTGCTCAGGAGTGCTCGCCATGCGCATATCTTGTGCAAGAGATTCATTGACATCCCTTACTTCCACAAGGCCCATTTTCATCCAATATTCAAACATTGGTTTTGAAAACTCTTCAACGCGTTCACAGATCCATAACCGTTGCCTAGTGCGAGTTACAGCAACATATAGCTGCTTCAGTTCAGAACACAATATTGTGTGCCGTGCTTCAGTAAAACATGGGAAGCTCTGTGAAAATCTTGAGTCAAGTAAATTTTGAAGTTTCATGAATTCATACACTACTCTCCACTGATTCCTCAGAGGTGAAGTACCAAAGAAGTTGTAAAGCAGCACATCCTATAAAAATAAACAACAGTGGTCACTTAGAAATTTTCAATCCCTCAGAAAAAATATAATTACAGAAGTTGATCCACGAAAGGAACATTTCAATGAAAGGGAAAATAAAAAAGGATGATACAGAAAGGCAGAAGCTCTTAATATAAATTGAAAGGTTAAGACAAAAGATGTGGCATGTTCTCGCAGTCTTAGTTTATCCCACTTACTTGAAACTCTAATCCTTTGCATTCAACTATAGTTAGAATGAGTGCCTGTTTCCCAACAAGATCAGAAACTTCACATTTAGCAGACTCATCACGTACTAATATCACTTGCTCTGCACCAAAGCCTACCATCTTCCCACTAACACCTTCATTGTTACCAAAGATGGTTACAATAGCATTTTCATTGCTACCCTGCTGCCTAAGCAACACTGGAGCCTCACCATATATAAGGCTTGTCTCTGGAGACAAAACATCAATTGACAAAGGGAAATAGTGAGAAAGAATATCAATAACACTCTGAGCAAGCCTGAGAACGCCAGCATGTGTACGAAAGTTCTGGTGTAAACAAGACACCTTGGAAATATGGCCTTTATCTTTTCGTGTGGCATGTAAACCACCTTTCGATTTCAAGACGAACTGCTCATAGAACAAAGTCCGCACATCTTCAAATCTAAAATCTACCCCCCTGGCAATGGTTTGGGCTGTATCCCCAGAAAATACAAAGCCCTCATCAACATTTTGGCAAATATACTTGAACAGTGAAATCTGTTTCATTGTAAGATCTTGAACTTCATCAATATATACAAAATCCATTCTTTCACCCACCCATATTTTCTCATTTAACCGAAAATGAAGATCATTCACTAAATCAGCTAAATCAAATTCACCTCGCTCCATCTTATTTTTTTCATAGTAGAGAAAGATATCATAGATTTCGTCTCTTCTTTTCTCATTCAAAGTTGATACTCTACTCTCAGTCATTGAAACATATTCAGCACGACTGAGTTTGGTATCATGGGCTTCACCTATGCGTAATCCCCCTTTTATATGTGAAATTATTTCAGTAAACACCTTTGCAGCATCATGATTCTTGGTCAACTTGGAGTTGAAATGAGGCCAATACAAGCAAGAAAAGCGATCGAAGTTAACCTCTTTTCGTCTTATGAAAGTTTCTGCATCCAGAGAAGGGGTGTTCTTGTCTTGGAAACGGTCAAAGTATGAAGACTGCAAGGTTCCATCAAGCATTATCAAGAACTTCCGAAATGTGATAACAAGGGGATATTTTGTTTCAGGAATGGAAACAAAAGAATCTGGAATATCTTTAAAATGAGACAACCCGTCCAAATCATCCATCATATCCAACAGACTGTTCCCATCAGACAATTTCCCCCCTTGAGCAAAGCTGAATGCAAAATAAAGGTTTAGACTTGCAAAGAAAATTTCTTTGGAAATATAAACAGGCTGGCTTTATGCAATCCAGTCAATAAGAATATCATCTTAGGTAAAGCAAAGCCAACTATAATCACATTGCACTTAATGTAAAGAAGATCACACATTAAGATCCGCATAACGTGGAACTATTAAAACCAGGTAAGACGGTGAGAAATATGAAAATTATGTACCAGCACAGAAAGCTAATTTATTCATATCCCAGGAGATGTAAGACTGTGTATCATCAAATACTTTATCATTGACGTAAGAAAAAGGTATTTCATTCTATTGTACTTGTATATTGTTAGATGTTAATGTTCCCAATATCCTGATGAACATTTAATCCCTTTGTCGAAAATGTTGTCATGTATGATCTAATGATCATGAAAGATCTAAGAAATGTACCGTATCCCATATTTAACTTAATTCATTGCATTCTAAACCTATTCACTTTCCCTTGAAAGCTAATGTAGTTGTAGAGTGATTTATATTATTAATTTTGGATAGTTTTCAACAATTACAGAACTGATGAGGATCTCAAGAAGCCCAACACTAAGTAATTTTGCAACCAACAAATAACAAAGGCATGATGCATGCAGATTGCAAGAAAAATAAATCCCAGTAATTAAAGCCTCAAATGGTATCACTTCATGTTTTTTTATTTTGTGTTAGTTTGAAAACAGATAACAAATAAGAAACCTAGAAAAGATTGTTTCAGTTTTTATAGCAGTTTACCATAATAGCACAATTGGTATGCTTATGGCCAACTTTTGGTTTATTAGATAACCTATATTTATGACTTAAAATAACAAAGCTAACTCTTTCACTTTATGAAAGTAACTATTGCATCAGTGGTAGATAAACAAGGAGCTGTAAACAGATAATAGAATTTGACAGAAGGTAAGTCAAATTGTTCAAACTGACCATTTGAGATGAGAAACTTGTTGTTTTACTGCATAGCACAGCTTTGGACTAACAGTGACAAAAAGCTGCCTCAAGGCACTAGTCATATTTTCGGATTGGCACATTATTGTGTTCTCAGCTTTTGAAGAGCTATCTTCTCCTGCATGCTTGCTGATCTCACTATTTGACTCCGCTTTCATCACCCCACCTAAGGAAAGATGATGTTGTTGCTCATTTTGAAACAATTTCATGGTCAACACAGTGGTTTTACCAGTGCCCGATCGGCCCAGTATGAAACTACTCCTTCGTGATTTGATTATCTCCTTTTCCTCATCCGTAACTTCAAAAGGGATATCAATTTCTTCACCAAGATTATCAGAGAGCAAATGATTGACAGTGCCAGATGATAAAGAGTAAAACTTCATCAAGAGTAAGCTTTCACTCACTCTTGAGTTTTCAATGTAACTTCTGCCATCCCCCGCCACACTTTCATTTGAGCTATCAGCCAATCTCTCGCTAAGATTCTTGAATCTTACAAGATCCTGAGAAGCTGGCCAAACCTTTGGAACTTCCAAGTCACTGGGTAAAAGAAAGCAATTTAGAAAAGCTGTCTATTCTTTGATTTGTTTAGAACTCAAAAAACTATCCTGACTATAATATATGTGCATGAACCAACATACCCATCTAGACATTTATGGCTGCACATATTGATAAAATCATCGGTGTACATCGCAAAGATGCTATTAAGGCGTCTCAATAATTTTCCAACCTCATCAAGAGGTAACAAATCCCAAACCCTCAGAATTTGAGTGTATTTCAATTCTCTCTGAATGTCAACAGTGCAGACTATATATTGCCCTTCAACTTTAAACTGCTTCACAATCTGTGATGAGCTCTGACATGTCAAGTCCACAGTTTTTCTCTTTGGTCTCCATCCACCAGCAAGTTTAAGGAAAAGATTTAGCACTGCCTTTTTCAAATGGGTTGACACCAAGTTTTTAAATGATCTTTTGAAATTGTCACTTAAAAGAACCTGACCACAGCGGAATGGTAAAACAATTAGACATAGCAGATAAGTTTAAAAGAATGACCAATGAATCTTAAGCTTCACAAAAAAACATCATAAAAAAGCATTCAGCACAAAAAATAAGAAAAAGGTGATCACAGGTGATGAAGTAAGAAGTTTTTTTACATTCCATCTCTGATTCTTGAATAAGATGCTGTCTGCATTAAGCAGGTCATCAAGTTGATCCAGTTCTTTCTTGACTTTCAAAATCGTGTTTGACAGGTCACAATCATCGGAGGCAGAGAAGAGACAATGGCGTTTCCTTGCATCTTGAACCAACTCCTGCCAAACTGAATTGCTATCAATTAGGGTCCTCTCGCTTCCCAATATCCATAGACAGTGGCTTCATTGAAAAGAGCAAACAGAAGAAATAGTCAAAATACACAGTAGGCAACATCATATTAAAATCTTAAAAGGTCAGAAAATTACACATACCGGGCTCTGGTCAGGGCAACATTAGTTCTTTGCAAACTAGACATAAAACCAATAGTTCCAGCACGATTAGATCTCACAGTAGATAATATTATGATGTCTTCCTCCCCACCTTGGAAGCCATCAATAGACTTAACCTTAACCGCAAAGCCATCAAAGTTGTCATACTTTCTTCCAATTTTATGTTTCAGGGCAATAACTTGAGCAGCATAGGGAGATATGACACCAATGCTAAGCTTATTACCCGTGTCACACCAAACTGGGTAGATCATGTTTTGGAAGAAAATAAAACAAGTCAGAACATCACATGCAAACTCAAAGAATCTTTGTCATCCTTATTAATCCATTAAAATGAACACAAAACAGCAAGAAAAAATTTACTTTAAGAAATATGAAACTCAAATAAACCATAACGTTGATATCAGCACACTTTAAACAAACAATCAATAGCACAATTTAGATGCTAATGAACACAAAAATTAAGGAATTAACGAAAAACACTGAAAAACAAAGGGTAGCCTCACATTTGAACAGGTTCTGCACTATTTTAATGACTATAGCAACCTCAACCATATTCCTTTTGCTATATCCAATATCACCAAATTCTTCCTTTCCGTTAGGGAGACTTATAAAAGAATATGGACCAAACATACTTCCTTGAAGATACTGCCTCTCATAGTTTTTTCGTAGCACATTGGGAGCATCGTGCAACTGATTATGATAGAAACACGAATTTGGAAATCGGCTTATTGCTGGATGCATACGGTACTGGACATCAAGCATGAGCTTTGGGTGATCCAATGAACTTAGCCTTTCAAATAAGCTTCTTCCGAAACCAGCCTCATTAGACACCTATTAACAATTTTTCATGTCATTAGATGGAAGAAGGTATTCCTTAACAGATGCTACACACTAACACATTACAATGGAATAAAAAAAATGGAATACGCACTTTGCTATGAACAACTGCAGGTAGTTGGCACTCATCCCCTACTAGAATTGCATGCTTTAGCCCTGGGAGTTGAAGTTGTATGATAGATTCACATTCCCTTAACTGAGCAGCTTCATCAATGACTAATAATTTGAATGGATCCATTTCGACTGAATGCAGCTTGAAAGAACTTGAAGAGGTGCAGAAGACCAAATATGGTAACCTTAAACAGAAATCCATTATCGATGCCCTACTTAATGAACTTGGAAATTCAAGTTCTCCAAGAATTTGTATAAGGGTTTTCAGAATGGAGAGGCACTGGATTATCAACCAGGCCAAAGAAGATGTGTTGGTGGGGGAATCTTCAGAGGTTACTGGTTGTGAAAAAGCTACGTTCAGTTCTTCATCAGTCATTGTATTATTCTCGAATAAAGCATCTTTCAGAGCATCCACAAGACAAACCAGGGAAATGATTGATTGGAAATTGCGTTCTCGGATGAAATGCCTTGGGATATGAGTGCACATTGTTAGCATGCATCTTCTGAGGGATAAAAATGCACCCTCGAACCGCGACTTAAGAAATTCAGAAAAGGACATCGGCTCCACAGTTTCATCTAAGGTTTCACCTTTCTCAATTAACTCTTTCTTTTCTATTAATTTATTTTCCTCGAAGATCTCATAATCAGAAACAGAACCTTCCAGAAAAGAAATAGCAGAACTAATGCAGTGTCTCCAACCTGTCAGTAATCCAAAACATTCACGAAGCTTGTCAACACGATAATCTAGATACATCTCCTCAGTGTATTCGCCTAGCTTCAATCTGTCCTTGTTTCCAAACAGGACCACATCACCCAAAGGACATAACAGATTCTCCTCTGGTGAATCATCTCTATAAGATTCTTGTACAAGCCTTATCACCCGAGAGGCAACTTGTGTTATTGCCACATTTGTAGGTGCACAAATCAGCGTCCTGCACTTTTTCTTCAACAACATAAACAGAAGTACACTGACGGTACTTGTCTTCCCAGTACCAGGTGGGCCCCATATAAGATCAACGTGAGACTTTTGATCACATTTCACCCTTTCAAGACAAGTTAGTACTGCGTTGGCTTGAGACTCGTTCAGCTTGGACAACAGGCTGTCCTCTACATTCTCAGTTGATGATGATCTTACATGAGCATGAGGAGAGCAGTTATGGCATTCTTCTTCATCCTACTCATTAATGTGATAAACAATGATTAATCAGAATCACAACAAAAATATAGAAGAAAAATACCATCAAGTTGGTGTAAACATTTAATGAGAGAGAGAAGTCAAAGTATTGAAGGACAGTGACACTAATTAACCTCGGCACTTGTGTGTAGAACAGTGTTAATGATGTTCAAATTCCTTTTCATTCCTAGACCATTCCAAATTCTTTTATTTGTTGTGAGGTTCGCTAAGAAAACGGTATGGATGGTTGCATGGTCTCCTGTTAAGTCTCCAAAATCTATGGGCATTTTCACTTTAAAACAAGTAGACGGCATGTCATCATCATCATCATCTTTCACATAAGCAACTGAAGCAAATGTCCAATTCCATCCCACACGATTCAAATCGGAGACAGTCTCCGGTTTACCATCCGAGATCAGCAGTAAGTCTCCGGGCAATGTTTTGTACCGCTCCCCTTCATCATTAACCCTTCTCTTCCAGGATTCCACCTTGATGCTATAATGAACACCCTTCCCACGCCCCTTTGACAGTTCAAAAGAGTTGACTTGAGCAAATGGCGCTTTGTCCATTACTTCCAATGAAGAAGCAACGGTTGCTCGTGTTTCTTCCAGTAAAGGAAATGTATAGCAACCAAGGTAATGATCCCATAAACGGAATGTGCATGGAATCTTCTTAACCTATCATCAGAAAGAGTACAGTGTGGAAATTAAAAAAAAAAAAAAAAAAAGTTCACAGAAAAATGAAAGGGCGATTACAGAAAATACGTAGGTACCTGTTTTTGGTAGAGGGTGTCGTCGAAAATGTTTTCGAGAGACCATGAGAAGACTATATCGGCAAGGTCACTAGTCTTAGGCCAAACTGCAGAGGAAGCAGCAGCCTCTTCTTCCATTTTACTGTAATTTGTTGCTGACTGACTAAAAGCACAGAAAAATGAAACACCTAGCTAGCTAGCTAGCTCTTACTGATCGATCATCATGTGCATGAAAATGTGTACGTTTTTTTGGATAGCAGCGCAGAACTATACGGGTATTGGATTGGGGTTAATTTCTTTGCAACCAAGTGGAGGCTAGTATATATGAAGATCGAGCAGACAGAGGCCGGCGGCTTAACGTAATATGCATGATGATAAAGATAAGCAAACTGTACCGAGGAAGAAGACTACTATACATACATAAGACATACTTCCTCCGCCCCAAAACTTAGAGCCCGTTTGGTAGCACCAAAATCGGCTGTTTTGGCTGATTCTGTTGAAATTTATGATATTCTGGCTGGAGTGGCTGTTTTGGCTGATTCTGCTGATTTAAGAAAAAAATATTTTAAAAATATATTTTATTAATAAATTAAAGAAAAAATTATATGTAAAAATAGCTAAAATGGTCCTCTACAGTAACTTCAACCAATACAGCCAGAAAAGTAACTCCAACCTTACTTTTTCGGCTTATTACACAATTCAGCGCGCGAAAGTAAAAGTTACGTGTTTGGTGAAAAAGCTGGCTGATAAGCCTGATAAGCCGAAAACAGAGTTCTCCAAACGGGCTCTTAGACTTCACATAGAAAAAAATAAATTTGACTTTACTATAGAGTGCACTATTTTGCATTGTTTAAATACTGTTTGACACTTGAATACTTTTTGACACTGTTTGGCACTTTTTTTTATGTAGATTATTTATCAAATAAGGAAAATTTTGAAGTGTGAAGTTCATTTCAGAACTGTCCACGAAGGAAAGTGAGAAGTTAATTTTGTGAGGGAGAGAGTAAGAACGAAGGAAAAGATCGAGCGGGCGGGAAAATATAGTATGAGAACTAACAGTGCTAGCTTTTTTGAAATGGATGGGATGTTTGCCTTCCCATCACAATTAACCTCCCACGGCTCGATACTCCACCATCATGATCGATGAACAACTACTATACTAGCTTGATGGTGACCGTGCAGTGAGTTTACTAACCACAATCATTTCATAAACTAATTCATGAAATGAAATGGCTAGTTTTGACCGGTGAGCGTAGCTCAACTGGTAGCGAGAGAGTGTCACAAGGGTTAGGTCTAGGGTTCGAATCCCGGCAATTGCGATGAGGGGTTACTATGCTGAAAAATGCATAGGGCTTCTGCAAGTACCGGGGCAGAGCCTCACTCTCTATCTGTCAGATTGTGATTATAGTCCAATTTACATTCTCTCATCGTGCCGTCCGGTCGGTGTTGGGAGCCTTCAGGGATGGGGTGTCATCCTTTTTTTTTGAAATGGCTAGCTTTGTGCCCAAATTATATTTTTAAAATATGGTTTATTAATTAAATAAGAAATACGGAGTACTACTGCTCAGGTCCAGCCGGAGGGACGGAAGCCACCGTCTTAACTCCGCCGTTTGGGATGGTTCCTGGTGGAATTTTTTTATGAAATTTTTTTAGCATGTTCCTCATCAAGTCTAGTTTGTGCAGAAGAGAGAGAGAAATGTACATAATCACAAATTAGTTGTTTTAATAGGGAAGTGACAAAGTTTTTTTAGATAACCAAAAAAAGAAAAGTTGACAAAGTCCAATGGAACGGGGAGAGTATACTCATATATTAGGGTGCATGGAAATATTGAAAAAACATAGATAATTCGATTTAGGGAGTCCCTTTAATTGAAGACGGTAGCTTTCACTATAACCCGAGCAAATTTATAATACTGTTACAACTTGAACGACCATTGAATTCAGCAAATATTTCAGAAAAAAATAAACAGAAATTAACATTAACTAATAATAAAAATGGTTGCTTTACGTTTGGCCCCCTTTAACTCACTTTTGAGCTTTTCTCTTGATGGGAAAATGATTTACGTTTCCTCATTTTATATTTCCTACGTTCTTAACTAAGTATAACAATCTATGTACTTTTCATGTTTGTGGATGTATAATTTTGATCATTAATATACATATACTTCTCTATTAGTAAAAAAAATTTAAAAAAATAAGATTTTGAAATTTTAAAATGATACAAATTTAACATTATTTTGGAAAAATATATACTCTGTATTCATTAACACATCAATAAATAAAGCGTATTCACAGTAGAAAATGTGAATAACGTAAAATTTAATACATTGCACTTATTTAAGAACGGGTGAAGTACATAGTAAGATTCTCAACCTCTATTGATATTCCTTCAAAAAAATCTATAGATACTTATAATGGCACCACTGGGGCATTGCCCCGGGTGGTACACTAGTAACACCTTAATAATCGTATGATACTCATTACTACGTATATCTCAATCCTAGTTAGTTTTTTTCCGTTTAAAACACGTACCATTTTTTTTTTGAACAAAAAAACGCGTTTAAAACGAAAAATAATGTCGGTCCGTTTAAAAAGGAAAAAAACTTCTACTCCCCGTATAAGACGTATATTTCCGTATTTTACAAAAAAAAAACGAAACATGATTTGATCAATTGAATGAATACATCAAATGAACAAGAGATCAACAATAGTCTAAAAGCAAAAAAAGAAAACATCACCATGACCACATGTTTTTGTATTGTTACATTACAAAATATATACGTAGTAATTGTTAAATACTAAAATTAACTACATGATGACTAAAGCTATCATCTTAAAAGACTAAAACCTAAAATACTACTACGTATTACATATTAGATATGTGATGTTCTTTTCCAAACAAACATATCAAAATTAAGGTTTTTCTAAACTTGACATTTCTAGTGTAAACTTTTACACATAAACAATAAGACCATTTGGAGTGGTGCAAGAGTCTAAATGTCAAAAATGGACTCCGTCGATATGAAAACAGTGTTTTGACTCTTATTCTCTGCATTCCAGCACCGTCAATAAAATACACTCTGCACATTTTTTTACATATCAATTTAGTAAAACATTAATTAAAATATTATAAGTAATGTTTAACTTTTACTTTTTTCTCTGATTAATTATAAAATAAAAAACTATGTTGTAAGGCCCGAACCGGACCGGACACGTCAGCCCGGAACCCACCCACCCGCCTCTGGATCCTGTCCGGTTGACCTTCAACCCGGATATTGACAAAAAGCGGGATTTTGGCAAAGACTTGCAGGACTACGGATCAACCTCACAACCTTTGAGAAGAAATTTGAGTTGCATTCCGCTCTACTACCGGAAGAAGTTGTGAGATTTTGCAACGAGTAAAGGGTCAGTTTAGTCCTCGAAGTTGCAAAAAAGGCGTCAAATAAGTCCTTATATAGAAGATTCTGTCCGGACGTGCCATTTGAGGTGGCTCCCGGTGGAATTTTGTGATAAATTTTTTTGAGCATCTTATTTATTAAGTCTAGTTTACTCATACCAAATTTCAGCTAAAAATTCAATCGGGAAGACATTCAAATGAATTCTTGAAGATAACAGTGCTTTTAACGGCACAGTTATCTTCAAGAATTCATTTGAATGTCTTCCCGATTGAATTTTTATTTGAAATTTGGTATGAGTAAACTAGACTTAATGAATAAGATGCTCAAAAAATTTCATCAAAAAATCCCACCGGGAGCCACCTCAAATGGCACGTCCGGACAGAATTTTCAATATAAGGACTTATTTGACCCCTTTTTTGCAACTTCGAGGACCAAACTGACCCTTATCCCATTTTGCAACTATAGCAAAATTATACTAAATAAAACGGATTATTGTACAATTAATTAATTAGTTGACTTTCTTTTACCAATTAATTAGTTAATAAAACAATTCATAATAAAAAATAATAATGCAGACACAACAATGCTGATATTATACTTACAATTATAAGTGAAAATATATTTCTATTATACTTAAGATTTTGTAATTGATGTCATGTTATATTTATTGTCCATCTATACCCAATTTTGTTAAAACCAATTCTAAAATAATGATTTTTTAATTGGATTATATGTATTATTATTAAATTGTGAAGGAATAAGATTTTTCTATTTATGAGTTTCACCTTATATATATATATATATATATATATATATATATATATATATATATATATATGTATGTATGTATGTATAAATATATGTGTTGACCGGGTTTTCCGGTTGTTGACCGGGCTGACCCGCCGGGTCTAGGTTGACCCTTGACCCGGTCATCCCTCCGGGTCGCTCTCCGGTTCGATTTTTACAACATAGATAAAAAAGACACATTTCGATGTAAAAATAAATAAATTTCATTGATATTTTTTTGTCGAATAAAATATTGATTAAAATAATAGGAAAAAAATAAAATATTTTAACCGTTGGAATTTAATTTCAGCTGTTGGGTCAATTTTTTCCCGTTCTATTCGTGTCCAAATCATCACAACCGTTAGATCTACCAATCAATATATATATATAAAAGAGGAACTTTTCAAGAGCATACGGAGTGCCACATAATCCTGCCATGTCATCATATATAACTATTATTTAATATTTAATTACTTGCTATATCTTTTAATTTTTTTACCTTTTATATCACATCTTATTTGGTAACTCATATTTGTATAAAATCTGATTTTATTCGACACTCTTATAAATCTGATTTAGAATAAAAAAAAACTACGTAATAATAATCTAAAGCTACGTAATTTAAAGATGATTTTATTCATCATCTTTTAATTTCTAATTTCATACTTTAGAATAAACTTTTAGTATATTTTAAGTTTCTAAATCTAAAGCTACGTGTTCTAAAGCTATGTAATTTAAAGATGATTTTATTCGTCATCTTTTAATTTCTAATTTCATACTTTAGAATAAACTTTTAGTATATTTTAAGTTTCTAAATCTAAAGCTACGTAATCTAAATCTACATAATTTAAAGATGATTTTATTCATCATCTTTTAATTTCTAATTTCATACTTTAGAATAAATTTTTAGTATATTTTAAGTTTCTAAATCTAAAGCTACGTAATTTTGGAGTAAACTTTTAGTATATTTTATGTTTCTAAATTTAGAATTAGAAACATAAAAACTACCTATAGTGCATATGTAAGCTATTTTAAATACAAAGAGAATGAAAAGAAAAGTGTATTTTCACTATTGACTTTCTCCTTAGTTTGAAGAATTCTATTGTTTAGTGTTCTTATTATATCAAGAATGTCATCACCGTAAGTTTCTACAACATTTTTAATGATATATTATTGAATACTATGTACATATAATACTTTACCATTCACATGTTTATGATACATGATATTATTATGAATTATACCTGATTGATTAATATTCCATAAAATGCAGAAGTTATTTTCTAATACGTCAGCTTGATACATCCAAGTCCGACTGGACAATCAAAGTTCGTGTTACACGCCTTTGTGATGTCATCAATCACAAAAGGCAAGGAAGCTTAATTTGTCTAGACATGGTTCTGATCGATGAAGAGGTGTGCTTTTTCTTAAATTTCCAATTTTAAATGCACCTGTTTTAGAAAAAAAAACTAATGATATTTTTTTGTGGTCGCAGGGTAATTATATTCATGCATCTATAAGAAGTGGATATGTTCATACATTACGTCCCAAAATAAAGGAAGTAATGATACACATCATAAAATATTTATCAATGGTTCCAAATAAAGAAGAATATCGTGTTGTATCCGATAATAAAATCATGCTACAATTCTTCCATAACACTGTCATCAAAGAAGTCAAAGGAGAAGCAATTGAAGTGCAGAATTATAAATTTGACTTCATATCTTTCAACAATTTAAAGAGTCGTCTTGGGAGTAAATATCGTTTGACTGGTATGAAAAAATATTGTTACTAAATATTATATTGGTGTTATATTTCTATAATCAATTTATACCACTAAATATTGTTCTTGCAGATGTGGTTGGCATGGTTGTGTACGATTATGATCTTAATGGATGCGAAACTATTGAAATAGAAGACCAGTAGTATGTTTCATATCTATTTACTAATTATATAGTTTTTTATCCTACAAAATTCAAGTAACGTCCAATCACATGTACTCACTTTTGTTACCATGCAGGGCGAAACACATCAAAGTAAGACTATGGGGTCAATGCATTGATCACCTTACCAAACAACGAAATAAACTCGATGAGCCTACAAAACATTTTGTGATAGTTGTTACCTCTACTATAGTTAAAGACTATAATGGTAAGTAATCACAATAATAAAGTTAACAGTTCAAATTCCATTGTGCATTGACTTCTTTGTGATAATATCATGTGCATTGCCTCTTCAATATTCAGTAAATTTGTTCTAATTGTGCAGGAAATTTATGTTTATCAACATCCCCCTCAAGCATGGTGTACATAGATCTTGATATTGATGAGTGCAATAAGTTAAAGACCCTTTGGAGATACTATATTCCCAAGTAATTCTCTGAGATGAGTGTTACTTACTTGAAAATAAAAAAAAGTTCAGAAAATTTCCTATAATTTTTAAGGATACACCGGAAAGGAAAATCATCCTATAAACACGTAAAGTTAATAAACAAGGTATAGAAATTAAAATCTGACTTACATGTAAAGAGATTATTATGATAGTACGGAGTACAAGTCAAAGGGTTACCGCGGCATGAAAGAAAACTGGAGTTTTTTTTTTCAGAGTGAAAACTGGAGTATATTGTCATGACATTAATGGCACACATAATTTGTGATACGAGGTGCATAATTACATAAGGTGCTTTCACTAAGATATACTACGTATAGAGTAATGTAGTACGTCTATTTTAATATGTCACATTGAGCATTTTGAGAAAATTCTCTAAAGTCACTAAAGTTTTATGACATTCGTTTTTATTTGAAATCTGATAAAGTTAATAAACAAGGTATAGAAATTAAAATTGTAAATTCAGTTGTGCAAATTTCTCAATCTGACAAATTATTTGAATTTCACACTATTAAAACTATAAAATAATTATGCATCTTATTCAGGCAGAACTTAATCAATTTCAACATAATCAGTCAATTCAATCAATTTTATTATTACCAAACGAGCTATATATTAAATTGAAGGGTTGCTTACCCATTTTTCTATCAAGTCCTATTTGAATTAAGACATGTATAGGTTAAGATGTATGTCGCGATAAAAGAATATTTGTAAACGGTCAGAATCAAGTAAAATAATCAATTTAGTATTATTCTTATATTATAGTGTCAATGAAAAACTTCAATTATTAATATAATTTATTCCACTATCAATTTTAAAAAAAAAAAGACATTTAAAATTAACTAAATTATGTACTGCCCGTGCATCGCACGGGCTTGAAAACTAGTTTTAAATAAAAGAAAACGTTGTGTGTGTTGTGTGACATCCGCACGACGTCGTCATGACACCAGCTGGGCAAATAAATCCGCTTCACACTGCACACCTGCACTGCTGCGCACACCTGCCATCAACCTCTCTTTTTCCTTTTTCAATTCTTTTTCATTTCCTTTTTAGTTGTCCAAAATTCCTCCAAATATAACCCCTTCCCTCCCAAACTCATTTTTAATACCCTCTTCAATCAACCAATGCATGGAATTAGGAGTCCAAAAATGCCATTTTAACATTTTGGACTCTTAATACCTCACCACTCCAAATGGTCTAACAAGCGTAGCAGTCGCACAACTTTTTCATATGTCATTCGTCATCTAGGTGAAATTGACGAGTTTAACTTGAGTGTCATATGATGATCATTTAAAGATGATGATGATGTTAACTTGGTCTCATTCTATCGTTATTATGCCGTATTTTTTTACATTACTTTGCAAAATCATGTCTTGAATTTGATTACTATTTTTACTTTGTCATCGACTTATACAATTACAAATTATTCTTTTATGTAGTAATAATGTGATTTGCTACTTCAATATGTGTACACTCTTATTTTTTTTATTACGGAGTATATGTTATTTTATGAAGTATATATAATTTACATTTTATTTTGGACTTAGCTACTATTTCTTTTTTGTCATGAACCTATGCTATTATGAATGCATTTTTTGATGGAGTAAAGAGGTATTCTATTTGAATGTGTGTGTATTTTGATCATCCTTTATGTACTATATGTTTTTTATGCTCTAAAAACTAGTACAATAATTTAAGCACTCAAAATAAGACCAGCATTTTTAACCCGACTTTTTCTAAGAGATGCCGTATTATACACGTATACATATTTACACGTTTTTTGCCGAATTTTTGACCGTATTTTTTGTTCAAGTTACTGAATAAAACACGTACGTATTAAACCACGTTTAATTTATTTAACTAACTATGATCTCAACCATAGGGTGTAGGGCACGGGGTTAGTACTTCTATTTGAAAACTTGTTTATTAAAAAATGGCTAATACTGTAACAAACTTTGATATATATGCTAGTATTCGAAAATTTACATTTTTTAGAAATCATATCATATGCTCCCTTTGTCTAAAATTTATCTTCATTATTTCCTTTTTCATAATGAATTTCATATGCTTTGTCAAAAACATTTTTTAAACGGGCCAAAATGAAAATTGGGGACAAACACAAATACACAATATCGGATGGAAGTGTGAAATAATGGGAAATGGTACTCCAATAGGAGTCCTGACAGATATATTTATAATAGAAGAGTTTCCAAAATACAAAGTATTCCTAAATAGATATTAGGCAGATTCCTAAATATATTAGTCTATTACACTCTCTCAAACTGTGCGGGAGATACAACGTGCAGGTTGTCCTTTTAAAAAATGAAAGTGCGAACTAAAAAAAACTCTTAGTAAATATGTCCGTCAGCGGAAGATTAGAAGGCACATCTTTGACAATGAGATCTCCATGAGAATAGATGTCTGCAGCAGCAAGCGGCGAACTCAACAGCACGCTTGAAGCAAGCACCGTGGTCAGCGACGGAGAAAAGGTGGGCTGCGCGGACATAGGCAGCAGCAGGCGGCGAACTCAACGGTACGCTGGAAGCAAACACCGTGGTCAGCGACGCGGAGAAGGTGATCTGCGCCATATCAGTCGCGCTCATCCTCAAAGGCTCGGAGAATGCCGTAGATGTGGCGGCAATCGACCCCGAGGCGGCAGCGGCTGTACTAGGGTTCATGGGAACCGGAAAAAAAAGAGAGAAAAAATGTGTCTAAAAACCTAGAGCTCTTGATAACATGTGAAATAATGGGAAAGTGTACTCCAATAGGAGTGCTGACAGATATATTTATAATAGAAGAGTTTCCAAAATACAAAGTATTCCTAAATAAATATTAGTCAGATTCCTAAATAGATATTAGGCAGATTCCTAAATATATTAGTCTATTAGGAAGGAGTATAATTCATTAATTCTCCAAGGAAGAATGGATAAAAATCTACAATTGTACGTCCAAATAAATTATTTAAACAGGCACTCATCTCATGGATGAGCTGGGAGAGTGAAGTTGGAACTTATTCTGCATGCAAGAGTGATGAACAACCCCGCTCAACATTCTGCTGTGCAGAAAAAGAAGATATAATTGCTGAAGTATGAAAGGAAGACGCTGGCGAGGGAGGATGTGCAGAGAGGCTTCTGTGAAGGAGGAAAGAGATATTGCACTACCAGAGTTTATACTTATGCACTACTACTACTACTTCCACGAATGCAACCCTTCTCTGTCAGACTGGCAGTAGGCGTCGGCGGCCTATCAATCTGACAAACGCCTTCTAACATCTGAATCACCTTGCCCATTGCCGGTCTCTGAGATGCTTTCTCTTGTATGCACCAAAAGCTAACTTGAACAGCTCTCATTAGTTGATCCACATCTGTGTCTTCGACGTGAAGCTCTTTGTCCAAGATTCCCACAAAATTACCCTTCTCGTATTCTTCATACGCCCACACAGAGAACCTTCTCTGGTTCGTCTCCGCAGAGACTTCAAAATTCCTTTTCCTACTTATCATCTCCAACAGAACCATCCCGTAACTGTAAACATCCGATTTGGTGGAAAGAGGTAGGTTTGCTAGGCATTCCGGAGCAAAATATCCTCTGGTCCCTCTAATGCTCGTCAAGGTTCGGTCCTTAATCTGCTGTTTAGAGTTGATAAGTTTGGCTAAGCCAAAGTCAGAAACCTTCGCATTGTAACCTTCATCCAACAGAATATTTTCAGGCTTTATATCACAATGAATGATACAATCTCTACACTCTTCGTGAAGGTATGCTATCCCCCTTGCAGTTCCCAGGGCTATGTTATATCGCTGTTGCCAGTTCAGACAAAGAGGCTTGCTTTCTGAGGAAGATGAAGGAAAGAGGAACTGATCGAGCGAGCCGTTTTTCATGAACTCATACACAAGTAGGCGGTGCCGTCCTTCAGAACAAAACCCAATCAGTCGCACCAGATTCAAATGGTGAGTGCTGCTAATGGTGGTGAACTCCATCCGGAACTGTTTCTCCCCTTGCTCGATTCCCTCCAGCTGTTTCACGGCGGCGACAGTTTTATTGGCGAGAACGCCTCTATAGACCGCTCCGAACCCCCCTGATCCGAGCATCTCCTTGAACCCTTTCGTCGCTCGGTGGAGCTCCTTGTATGAAAACTGAAGGGGCGCACCCGATGCGTACTCATGGAGGACGACGTATGGGGCCGATTTGCGCCTGTTTTTAAAGCAGCACAGCCATAAACCGCTCTCTATCAAAACCAAGCCCAAAAGTGTACTTAAGGCAACAACTACGACCACCCACCACTCCACCTTCCCTCTGCTCACCTTCTTGAGGCTTCCAGGCGACGATGTGCCGGATGGGTTGGGCAATAGGGTCCCACAGACCTTTACGAACGAAGTGCTGGGCAGGGTCGGAGACTGATACCCACTGACGAAAGTAGGCAGTTTCTGGTAACAGAACCCCGTCCCGTCTGCCAATGACGTAGAAGCAATGCAAGCGGAATTGACGAGGCAGTTAAGCTTGCAAGGCGAAATGCCTTCAGTGAAACTCTGATCGGCCAGTTCGGGATCATAGGTCAAGAACATAGCATGATCCAATTGCAACATGCTGCGGTTCGAAGGGCAGTTGGCCAGTTCGACTTTCCTCCTGCACCCTTTTCTGCCGTCTTCAGGATCGACAGGCTCGAAATTTGCAGAAGGGCAGGCACAAATGGGACCGGAATTGCTGTAACTGCATATCCCCAAATTCCCACAATACCCAAAAACCTTACATTGGTCACTCAAAGCAGACCATCGGACATTGGCAACTCCAGTCCCCTTCGCGGAGCTATAAATCCGGAGATTGCCATCGCTGTCGAGCTTCACGAACCTGAGGATATCTCCCTCCTCGGCATAGTCGCTGCTATACACCGCATTCAAGGGAATGGGAAGGCTCGGGTCGAAAAGCGATAGGATGCCGACTGGGGCTATTCCCAAACTGGGGGAACTCAAGTTCGCGTTGGAGGAAGAGTTCAACCCGGAATTGTAATAAGCAATCGAACCGTTCCACAGAAGCGTTAAGTTGCCGTTTTGCCTCAGCCTGAAGGAGAAGTTCCCCGATTTCAAAACTTGGTTTAGGGTGAAATTTTGGGAGGGAACGATGGTGTCGGCAGGATTGTCAAAAGTAGACCAGATATTCGAAACGGTGGCGTTCTTAAGAACGAGATTACCGGAGTCGTCAAGGTGGGCGGAGGATACACCGCGGCCGGCGGTGTTCGAGCTCCAGGCAACGGTGGGAGAAGAAGAAGGTCCACCGGTGAGCTGAAGATCTCCGTTGGAGAGGAACCGGAAAGCAGCAGAGGAGTCAAGGGCGGCGGCGCCAGCCTTCCAGATGGGGGTTCTTCCATCGTAGCTGATTGCGGCGAAGGAGTGGTTGGGATCCTCGGGGTCGGGGATGAATGAGAGAGAAAAGGTGTTGTTGGGAGATGGCCAGCTAGAATTCGGGTCGGATGCTAAGAGGACTGAGCCAGGAGGAATTTCCGCCGCTCCACCCACGAGCAGGATCCACAGAGAACCCATCCATGCAAGTGGCTTCATTTTCTTAACTCTCAGTATTTCCTACAACTTCTTCATTTACTCTTGTATACACAACAAGGCACTTGATAGAGTGTCTTGTCCAATTTTTACGAGTATCTTTTTAAACGATTTGCTTATTTGTACAAGTAATTAATTTAGAGTGCACACATTTCGTGTATATATACACTTAGGGGTGTGTACCGGTCCAAAATCGGACCGGACCGGAACCGGAATCGTCATTTTAACTGGACCGAAGACCGGACCTGATATTAACCGGTCCAGACTGGCCCGGACCTGAATTTTCCGGTTCGGTCCGGTCCTGTTTTGACCCTAATTGACCCGGTATTTTAAAAAATGCATATTGTCTTAGATTGTTGTTTAAAACTTTAATCTTATGTGCTAAATAGACTAAATAATGTTTAACTCGTTCATCAATTTAGACATATGATCATCAAAGGTAACCCGTAACAAAATTAGTTTCCCAAATTAAATGAGTTTAAAAAACTACAATCTATCATGTACACTAACATGACATAATATGAGTTATAAAAACGTAACTTTATCACATGTCCAACTATATATAAACTACATCAGTAGTACACATTGCAGACAAAGAAACAAATAAAAAGCAACACACTGAGCGTCTAACGGTCTAAGTATTTAGCTTTGACCATAAATAAACTAAGGGGTGTTTGGATCTGATTCTCAAAACTGATTCTGCTGCTTCAAGGAGCAGAAGCAGAAGCTAGAGTGTTTGGGTGAAATTCCAGAAGCACTTCTGGGGCTCTAATTTACTCTCAGAATCAGTTTTTTTAGAAGCTGGTAGGTACCAGCTTCTGAAAACTGATTCTGATTCTGCTTCTACTTTAAAAAAAGAAGCAGAAGCAGAATCAGTTCCAAACACCCCCTAAGTAACATTATGATAATTAATTCACAATTCAGCCTTATAAAAAGAAAACATACTAATTTATTCACAGGTTACCACCGTAAATGTCAAATATATACTCCACATGTACATTTATATCTAATAATACAACGGTAAAAGAAAAATGTAAATCCTAAAATGTAATGACTAATGATAAGGAACGATGTAAATATGTTTCAAAATAATAATTTACCGGTCCAAAATGGTCCGGACCTGTTTTTTTCCGGGTTTGATCCGGACCGGACCGGAACCCGGAATCGTGAAAATCTTAGGACCGAAACCCGGGAAATAAAAGTTGGATCAGGGAAAAAATAATCCAAACCGCCTAGCTAGCCGCCCGCCCACCCGCCTAGGCGTCAGACCGATTTTTTCGACCGATTACACCAAAGTTGGGGCGCCCGGCCACCGCCTAGCCCAATTTTTAGATCCATGGACCAGACCAGATCAAATCAGACCAGACTTTCGTAGTTATAAAATACACAGAGACCAGACCGGACCGGTTCAGACCAGAACAGATCAGACCAGACCAGACCAACAAATTTCAGTCCAAAAGAAAACATCCTCAGTCAGCGGTTTTGACTAGCAGAATAAGTTAACGGGTTGCTAGATGATGTTTGGTAACTTAGCATTTTATCCATACCAATTAGTAGAAAATACTCCCTTCGTATTTAAGGTTTGCTACACTTTCATTTTTTGGTAAGTTTTTCCTTTAAAAATACTCAACTACTCTTACTTTTTCTACTTTTTATCTTCTCTTTCATACTTTTACACACACTCTCCTACTTTTTCTGTCACGCCCCAGACCGCAATCCAAGCGCGTGTACAACCGCCGTATAATCAAGTGACGTCACCCACGAGTCAACCTCACTTAATTACACAAGGCGTCCTAGAAAACAATCCATCCATACTCAGTAGTAAACATACATAACAACATCACATTTAAACCAATGAATAGCGGAAATATTCAACGGTAAGTCATGATCCACAACCGGCCAACAACATGGGCATGCAAGCCCCAAAAATAGTTTATAGTAAAACAAATATCCATGAGCAAGTGTTCGGTAGTTTGAAAGAAAATAAGGAAGCACGAACCACGTCTTCCCGATATGATACCACCCGTGAGAAGGTGCAAGTAGCAAGCTCTAGCTTCAACCTGAAAATGGTGGGGGGGCCCGAAGGGGTCAGTACAAGTACCGAGCGAGTAGCAGACTAAATATAGAATAACTAGCGTTTCAAGTATAAGACCCAAACATAGGGTGATACTTAAATAAATAGTCTTTCCCCCAAGTTATGAAATACTTATTAGTATATATATACTTGGAAAATATCCGATCCGTAGATCACCATTTTATTTGGGAAAAATAGTAATAGTCAATATTCTTGACTAAAAACCCCAACCCACCCATATACTTATGAGTGTATAGGACCCATCCATATATCATAATCTATGAGTTTTAGGATCATAATCCTTGGATACTCCACCGGTTTGTGAGTGTTAAGGACTCATAAGTCCTAGGGTCCTCCACCAAGTTTTGAGTGTTAAGTACTTTTAAGTACTAGGGTCCTCCACCAAGTTTTGAGTGTTAAGTACTTTTAAGTACTAGGGTCCTCCACCAAGTTTGAGCGTTAAGGACTTTAAGTCCTAGGGTCCTCCAACAAGTTTTGAGTGTTAAGTACTTTTAAGTACTAGGGTCCTTCACCAAGTTTGAGTGTTAAGTACTTTTAAGTACTAGGGTCCTCCACCAAGTTTTGAGTGTTAAGTACTTTTAAGTACTAGGGTCCTCCACCAAGTTTTGAGTGTTAAGTACTTTTAAGTACTAGGGTCCTCCACCAAAATATTTCCCTATGATCAACCTCCTATCAACCTAGATAGAGTCTATATCATACTTAGTCATTCATAACTAAATCAATACATAAAGCTTATGTATCACAATCCATGCAAAACCATGCATTTATATAGATTTATAATTAATTAATACCAACCGGTATTAATTAAATCCTTTGTCCATCGGTCAACGTTCTCGTTGACCGCCATTTCATGCCTTGTGTGTATCAACTTAATCATCATATAATTAAGTTAATAATATTCATTTGTGCTTCTAATACACTTCCAACCAATATGCATTTCATATAATTCTTCATATCATATTCCATGCATCAACAATTAATTTCTTTCATACAAACTTAACCCTATTGGCTAATCACATGTTTAAATATCTTTTAAACATCATTATGAACTCATATAACATTTATTTAGGTAATCTCATAATTAACCCAAAAGTTATAAGATATTAAGCCGTCCACTCACCTTGAACTAGCGTTATGAAGTTCTACCCTTCTTGGTTGAACTCCGGTGAAACTCCGGCGACTTTTGGTCAACTCCGGTGACAACTCCGGCGACTTTTCCAACTTTGTGAAATCACTTGAAATACCCCTTACAAGTTCCTAACAAGGTTTTATAATCATAAAACCCATATTAATACAAATAACCTCAAAAAGGTTATTTTCCGGTGAACCGGTCATTTTGGCTTCTAAGTCCGTTCTTGGACATGGAATCACCTTCCAACCCATTAATCCATACTTATAACATGTAGAACCCTCTTAAGGATCCTTCACATGATATATATCTCATATGGTAGGAGAAAAATAAAGAAAAAGTTATGATAAGGTTCTTACCTTAGTTTTCACACCTTTTCCTAGCTTTTTCCTTCTATAATCTTCCTCCTTGGACTCCTATTGCTTGGGCTTTGTTCTTGGATATGGAGGATGTATTTTGCAGGGGGGTTCCTCTCCTCTTGATGAGCCTTGGCCGAAAATGAGGGTGGAGGTGAGAGGAAATGCCAACTTTTGGCTTATTCCACCATGATAACATGGCAAGGACCCCCCATGTGTCCTTTTGATGCCAATCCCCTCAAGTCAACCACTCCCACACCCCTCCTCTCCAATCAGCCAGCCTTCCCTCCTCTCACAGCCCACAAAAACGTGGGGTGGCCCCCACTCATGTGGGAGGTCATCCCTTTGTGTCCCAAAGTGTACATTCGGCCCCAAAAGTTGTATTTTTCGGACTGTTTTAACTATATTTTATTTTATCGGGTAAAATAAAATATATTGTGTGTTCTCAATCATAATGCCTTTTTGAAATAATATATATTCCAAAACTTTAATTTAGAAGTCTCCGAGATTCATTTTCGGGCTGTTTCCGTTAAATTACCAGTACCGGTAATTTGGGCCTCTTTTGACCAATCGGTCGACTCCGGGCCTTTCTATGGCCCAAATGAAATATCCACCACTATATGTTTATTATCTAGACCAAGATGAATAAAATATATGGTCTCGGGAATGTCGGGCGGCCCCCGCTCCCGGTGTGGGTCCCACGTGCAATTTACTATTCACGCGAAAAAAATAATAAAAATTTACAACTTCGTAAATTCATTAATCCTTTAATAAGGTTCAATACATTATTTACATAAAAGTAAATATATTTGGGGACGGTGTTACATTTTCTACACTATTCATTACCCCTACTATTTCTTTCTTAAATAATGTGTCAAATGTTATTGTAGTGAACTTATAAATACGGAGGGATTATCATATTTCAAAACGTTAACAAAAAATTCTCATATTTGAAGCATTTTCATTTTAGTGGTTCCATCCAAAGAGGCTAAACTGGACAACATTTACTAAACAACGTTATTCTTTTTTGAAAACGTTAAAGGGGGTCAAGCCGCCATTTTTTGGTTGAAACACCATTTTCCAAACACCCCACTATTTGTGCACTCTAGATATATCCCGTGCATCGCACGTGAATTTCATCTAATTAGTTACAAAATTAAAGCAAAATTATTTTCCCATTTGGTTATGTTTAATTGACTTGATTTATTTCATTCAAGTTTTTCCATTAGGTTCCTTCAAACTGAACCAAAACTGTCATCCCAAATATCCAACTTTGGGTATGTTTGGCAAATGGCTTATCAGCCAGCTTTTAGCTTGTTTGATTAGTCAAATAAGCTAATAATAATGTTTGGTAAATGTATTTTAAAATTAGCTTGTTGAGTTTGAAAAGCTGAAAAAATGGATGGTTGAAGAAGCTAAGGGGGGCAGCTTCTTCATTCGGCTGGTTCAATTTACACTCTATCAGCCATTTCGAAACAACCAATTTTACCAAACAGTTATTTATAATCAGCTAACATAATCAGCCGGTCAAAACAGC